TGTGTGTGTGTGTGTGTGTGTGTGTGTGTGTGTGTGTGTGTGTGTGTATGTGTGTGTGTGTGTGTGTGTGTGTGTGTGTGTGTGTGTGTTTGTCTAACTGGGATGAGAGAATAATAGCTCAAATTATGTGAGGATTACTGACTTTCATGAATTAGTTGAACCAGACCTTGTGAACTTGAACACTATACACCTCTGAACTGTCCTTACACCATTTTGGTCAGGTAGACGATGATACTGAGAAAATCGAATTCCCTAATCTTCTGCAAGGACCATGCTATAAAATAACCATTTCTGGCTGCTTAACCATGAAGACTTTCACCTTTACTATTTTGTATGCCTATACTTACTAGGTTTTTAAGCATTCATGTTGCTCCTCACCTTCTATTAACCATTCCTTTCAATGATATTTTGTTCCTTCTTTTCCACTAGCTGAATCCTCAGAATTTTGTGTGTTGTTATAATGACATTTCCCCTCCTGCTAGTTTTTGCCCACTCCAGTTCATCTTGGATATTTTTTCTACAACTCTGAACTCCAGCTAATTTAGCTAATATGTATGAGTACCAACTCTTCTCAAGTCTTTTGTGCTTCTACTTCAACTCTGGGTTCTTTTCTTCGGCCTGTGCCATATATATATATATATATATATATATATATATATATATATATATATAGACACACACATACATATATATGTACATACATATACATACATATAAATACATATACATATGTGTGTATATATATATACACACACACATATATATATGTATACACACACACACACACACACATATGTATGTGTGTGTGTCTTCCTAAGCATAGGCTTAGATCCCAAATAGGTAATCATTATGGGTAAGCAGGTATAATCATAACCTAGAAGGTCACCATTTAGCAACTGCTCATCACTGATGGGACAAACTATTAGCAAGATCACCTCAGTTTTGTTTTTAGTTGTTTATTAAAATGAATTTCAATTACAGACTCTACTGTTCTTTTTAAATTTCCTTTAAGTCAAGGAAATTTATGTACAAATTAAAGTAACACTGAAATTTAAAATCACTTTACCTTCCTTGTATTAATATAGGAATTTATTTAATGATTCATCTCAGCTGGACTGAGGAGGTTTAAACAGAGGCATATAGGAGATAGGTTTAAAGATAATTTAAATCTATCTTTTTCTGACTTGCCTCTCTGCCTTTTTCAAGCATATGACAACGATAATTTCCACTAACTTTTTTTTATCCTGCATGAACTCATAAGGGAAAATAGCATCTTAAAAAAATTGCAGGGGTGTCTGGGTGGTTCATTTAGTTAAGCATCCGACTCCAACTCAGGTCATGATTTCACAGTTCAGAGGTTCGAGCCCCGAGTCAGGTTTTATACTGACAGCTCTGAGCCTGCTTCAGATTCTGTCTCTCTCTCATTCTCAAAAATAAACCAATAAACATTTTTTTAAACTACAGTTTTTGGAGAACATTTTATAGTTGTGTGAAGCTTATCCCATTAACTTCCAAAGGCAATTGAAACATATTCCATCTCATTCCATCATTTATAATTTTAGCATTTAGAGATGGTGTGTGTGTGTGTGTGTGTGTGTGTGGGTACACACACACACACACACACACATATAAATTTAATTATGTAAAAATATATAAATATAAATTATATAATAAATAATATATAAATTATATAATAAATAATTTGGGGATGCTAAGAACTAAATCATATGTAACAAAATAATTATGGCCCATTTTAATCTGACATACATTTTCCTGCTCTTTTAATGTGCTCTTTTAAAAAGGACCGGTGAGGGGAAAAAGGTATTTTCACTATTAAATACAACAATCAGCTGCTCAATATTAAGGTGATAATTTTCTTTAGAGAAGTTAGCCTATGAGGTCCAATGACTAGAAGTCAGGAAACCCTGGGGTGCCTGGATGGCTCAGTTGGTTGAGCGTCAGACTTGGGGTCAGGTCATGATCTCACAGTTTGTGAGCTCAAGCCCTAGGTCAGGCTCTGGGCTGACAGCTCGGAGCCTGGAGACTGCTTCAGATTCTGTGTCTCCCTCTCTCTCTGCCCTCTGCCCTTGCTCACGCTCTCTCTCAAAAAATAAACAAACAAACAAACACTGGGGCCCTTGGGTGGCTCAGCTGGTTAAGTCTCCAACTTCACCTCAGGCCATGATCTCATGGTTCATGAATTCAAGAACCTTGTCAGGCTCTGTGCTGACAGCTCAGAGCCTGGAGCCTGCTTCAGATTCTCTGTCTCCCTCTCTCTCTGCCCTCCCCCAGTCACACTTTTTCTCTCTCTCTCTCAAAAATAAACATTAAAAAAATTTAAAAAACGAACATTAAAAATTTTTTAAGAAACCAGGAAACCTATATTCATCTTGCAATTCTGTCTTGAGCAACTTACTTACCTTTTCTCAGTCTCTGTTTCCTCATATGCAAAATCACAGTTAGAATAAATATCCCTCACCCCTAAAGAATTTAAAGGTATTTACTATTTAATATATAAGTTCTGTGGATTTTTATTTTCTCTTTGTGAAAACAGTTTTTGGCAATGATGAGAATCTTTGTAATCAGGGCTTCACTACATTTTCGGGTGTCTAGTAAGTGAATCAAACTTCTACAACCCACACTTCATGAAACCCTAATTCAAATCAAGAAATGTGCCGTGGGTGGTGTAGGTGAGCGCTCACAGCACACAGGAAGCTTTACCGGAAGGTATCAACTGAAAGGAAACACACATGGAAATATCCTGTCACCCATACTGAAACCTTTTGCAGCCAAGCGAGGCCCTTTATGGAATCTCCCAAGCATGGCCACCCACAGGTGCCGTCACATCAGCCAGCTTCTCTTATCTCTTTAAAAAAATTTACTAAATACAGACTTCTATGATGTGTGTTTTGCTGAGGATCCGTCATCCATATATCTTCAAATGATGACTTGTTTTACAAGGTTTTAATGCATTTTTTAACCAAAAGCTTTCTACAGTACTTAAACTTTCTTGAACTTCAGTGGAATTCATGGAAAAGAAAGACTTTGTAATCTCTATTAAGGAAATTAGTTTTGAGCACAACGATGTTATTCCCCATTTTCAAATAGAAAAAAAAAAAAACCTGGCCTTATATAAAGTTTATTAAATTATTTTTTAAAGTAGCAGAAAGCTTTTATTCTATTAATATAATCTTATCTCTCACCAAAAATAATTATTAAATATAGGCTTTTTAATTTGTATTGTTTTCATGGAATGAACTATACACTTTGGATATATTATGACATTTAGTAACTGGACTATAATTCCACTACAGATTAAATATGACCAAATTTTATCCACATTCTATTTTTAAAAGCTATTTCCCTATTCAAAATTTTATTCCTGATGCAGGTACGTACAGACATGCAAACAAAACTACAGTTACCCATTTTACATGCAAACATGGAGGTTTTTAAAAAACAGAAGGGTGTAACAGCCCATATCATGTCATGCTACCAACCAAATGTATTAAAAAAACTAAAGGCTTCTTCCTGTAACCATTAACAATATTGTAACTGTTTTATTTTTTTTTTTAATTTTTTTTTCAACGTTTATTTATTTTTGGGACAGAGAGAGACAGAGCATGAACGGGGGAGGGGCAGAGAGAGAGGGAGACACAGAATCGGAAACAGGCTCCAGGCTCTGAGCCATCCGCCCAGAGCCCGACGCGGGGCTCGAACTCACGGACCGCGAGAATAGTGACCTGGCTGAAGTCGGAAGCCCAACCGACTGCGCCACCCAGGCGCCCCTATTGTAACTGTTTTAAATGGTCACATAAAAAATAACACCTAGTGATAAAAAATGAGAATTTTTCTTAGTACTGTAATCATTCTATT